TTTCAAATTATCAAGAATTTCTTAGGATTTTGGACTTAGTTAAGTTATTACAAACTGAAGTTTCCAAAAGCGCGGCAATTGGGGTGGGGTGGGGGGCGCTTACGATGCGCTATGAAACAGAGTGAAGAAACGAAGATTATCAGCGTGTTTTACCTCCTCCGCCATAGTACGTAAATAGTAAATGGAAAGTATTGTAATCGTGTTGGGGAAATCAGCCGTTTTTATACAAAATCGATATTCCCCCTCGATCTGAACGACCCTTCGAGTTTGAAGCGTATATTTTGATTTTAGGGGGTGCATTACACAAACCCTCAACATTTTCTAATTTTCCTCAAATATGGAACCATTTTTTTCGGAAAATTGAAAGTCAATGACCTTTGGTTTACTGATAAACTGTTATTGGTGAAATTCAAAAAAATCTTCTCTTCTATCACTTCGTACTTTTTCGCTTCGTAACATTTTCAAAATTTTCTCTAGGACTCCGAACTTTCTGATTAAACTTTGTCCTCGCATAGCGTAATGGACGCTTGGCGCTTGTCTTTCTTTCATTGAAATTCCTAGTTTTTGGAAAATTGCTTCCTTTTTGGGAAGTGGGGGGCATCGTCTTACAATACTGAAGATAGAGATCATTTCTTTAAAGAAATTTGTTGTTCCAAGACATTTGAAATACAATCATGTATAATTTTTCGAGAAATTTACGCAATTTCCACACAATTATTTTCTCAAAAAGACTTCAATTTTTAATTTAAATTTTCTTTGTTTATGTATCGAACGATTAAAAAATAGTTGTGCCTGTCCCATTTCCGGCTTACTCAATGTATTTTCAAAAATTGCAAATAGCTAACATTGTAAAAGTAGAATATTGAAGATAGAGATGTTTGTCTGAAATGAAAACTGTTCTAAAAAAGCAGATCTTTAAAATGGTCATGTACAATTGTTTGAAAAACTAGTAGTTCTCGCGCAATTTTTGCTGGGAATTAATTCGAATTATAAATAAAAGCATTTTTTGATAACCGCTCGCTTTTTTCTTTACTTTCTTCAAGGATAGAATAGGCAACACTTAAAAGAATGATGCAGGTTTCATTTTCCTCGAAATCTCTCGTGTGATTCCAGGCAGTGAAGTAGAGGAAAATACAATTTGGTCAGACAATTGTAGAGCATAAGTGAAATCCGGGCTAAGTGCCCAAATGTGAAAATTTTCATTTTGTGCTGAAAAGCATGGTAAGTATGTAAATTGGGCTATCTGAAAGTCTCATTCTTAGGGGTTCAAATTGTCGCCACAGGACTGCACATCAGTCAAGTCCTGTGACCTTTTGAAACCGTTTTTCTTAAATACCTCAGAATTCCAATTTTGGCACTTAGCAGTTTTCACTCACTGTCTATAATTGTTACAGATATAATAAAAATGTTAATATTGTAATGTGATGGCTATTACATTAGTATCTTCAAATTAAGACCACAACTCAAGTTTTTACTAAAGACCACACCTATTGTGGCTGACAGTGTGCATGCCATGATTGAACAAAGGTAGAAACTTCATATAATAAATTTTAACATCTTGGGACTGGCAACAACAGGTAAGGCAAACTTCCAGTAAATACACTGATAATAATATGGAACTTCAAGATTTTAATAACATGAGTTCACTATATGACAGACGATAATTTGCTAACCCATCTCAAGGATGTTCACAAACAGCACGTTCTTCTATTCAAATGTGTACAATTACAAGTGCACAAATAAAAGATGGGTAAACAGTTTTTAAAATCATCATTTGATGGTATTCATCAAGAGATTGGCTTTTGCTAGGTCACGCAGACAAGGAGTTATATTTCCAGAAGAGTTGATGCTAGTCTCAAATGCCCCATACCTAATTCCCAGCAGAAATATAATGATTTAATGCTGTTGCTCTATGTTCCTTTAGTTTGCCATAATCTTTATTACAAATTAGCAGAAAATAATAGCAAAAATGACTACCCATAGAGATACAAGTGATGATGAAGAAGATGTAAAACTTTGAAGTATTCAAATAAAATGATATGAGAGAATTAAAATATTGGTTATTTCTTCCATACAAAGACCAGTCTGTCCTACAATATTATAACAACCATATAATAAATAAGAGTGTGTCCTACACCTCCGAGATACAGGTACAGGTATACAACACTATGTTTATCAGAAGAACAATAGAAATTACATAAAATTAAAATCAACATGAATCTTAATGTCAAAATACAATTCTGGTAAAAGTCTATTACAAAGATCCACTTAACAAGCAAGAAAATTATGGACAAAGACAAATACATACAAACTGCTCTCTTGTAAAGTTTAGTAGAAGTGAGAGTGTCCTATACCTTTGAGGTACAGAATTAGATCTTAGATAGCGTAAAGGAAACTTAACAGAATGGTGCAGGTCTCTTGTTTGTTGCAATGATCGATTATTCGAAAAATTGAAAAAATTAAAAAATGTTCAGCGACTTTTGTGCAGATACATTTTTTTTTCTTAATGAAATGTGTTCATCAAAAACTGATCTTCAATAAGGTCATGATGAATTTTTTGAAACTATGAGTATTTTTTGTGTAATTTTGCGACAAACATAGTCACCGGTTGCAAATTTACTGCTGTTTCATGAATGGAATTCCAGAAAGTTGGATTCTTCGTAAGTTAGAATTTGTAAATTATTTCATATTTCTTTGATCGTTTCTTACATTCGAGCTTTTGAGATACATTTACAAATTAATCTTTTAGAAATTATTTAAAACCTATTTCAAATATATAAAATAAAAATTGCTAGCGTTCATGGAATATCGGAATGGAATGCAACAATGACTTGGTAGCTACTTTCTGTGAATTACGTGCTATTGTTGGAACACGATTTACTTGTACGAAAAGCAGTTATGAGTATTGAAACATTTGTGTTGATATTTGCTTGAAAATATTTAGTTTGTAATAAGTTTTACAAAAAAATTATGACCGAGATGTGGTAATTCAGAGAGAAATTGTGGTATAAATGACTTACATAAGTATTACTAAAGGCAAGAAAGTACGTTCTGTTTTAGCACCGCCAGTTTTTCCTAGTATCTCAGTTTTATACGCTTTAAAGTATTGAGAGATGACGAGACATTACATTTCACAACATTTATGGTCTCTCCCTTATTTATTAGTCAGATCCCTATAGCTGCAAAAAGACAAAATAACAATACTGGCTTAACAAAAAAAAAATTGTGCCAAGAATAACCCTGCAAAACTGATGTAATTTGAGTAATTTTACCTTGTTTCATAACTGTCTCAAACATTTTCTCTGACTTCATGAAATTTCCCAATTATTTTTCCAGACAGTATAAAAATCTTTCAGTCATGATTTTACAATGTTTCTCTCATCAAATTCAGGGGCCACGTGAGATGTTGGTAGACCTATCACCACAAAGCAACCTACTAACAAATAGATGTATTATAAAGCCGATGCAGTGTTTTAGAATTTTGCTGAGGTGGCATTTAGATGTAGAGGTTCTTTGTAATGTGACATAAAACTTGGTGTGCGCATTTAAAAAGGAATAAGTCAAAGTTTTTGTCCAAAATAAGTATGCAAGGACATTGCTTTACTACGTTACTATCATTGTGTGTAACGGGGGATAAGTGACATTTCAACTTTGCCATTAAACTTTAATTGCTTCAATGGCCTCTCAACTGCACACACTGTTCTTACATTTCTTTCAAAAGGCGTACCTTCTTCTGGGGCTTCAAACCTGCCAACTCTGGCTGTTGTCCTATCTTAGCGAAGCTGCCACTGTTTCAGATTACAAAAGAACATTAATAAGTTGTGAATGGCAATCTATAACTCTTGATTTTGCAAGTAATGTGCAACTTGCCACTCTTTCAGTAACCATCCTTGTTTTAGTTGCTTTTCTCTTAAAACTGTTTATATCAATTTTGTTCTAAGAATGTAGTATTTTTCCTCAGAAATATCGTTTTGTTCTTGAATTTTTTGTTCTCTTTTTTTAGCATTGTAAGCTTTGATATGAATAAATATGAAAATATGTCCAAACACAACCTTTACATAAGTAGGAAACATTATATATTTCACCCATTTGGGCAAAATTTATCCCCACATAGGTTTTGTTCTAAACTGATACTGAGATATTCATTATCCCACAGTGTGCCTACAGTTATCCTAAAATATGATAAACAAATGTTTGATGAATAATAAAATTAATAAATGAAAATATAAAAATGTTATTTTCCCGTACATCTTTGGAACTCCTGTGACATCTTCTCATGTACATGCTTGATAGTTCAACCATTCTGATGTTCCGGTTTTCGGTAAACAGGACTGCTCTTTTAGCCATGCATGAATACTAAATTGCAATATCAATACACTGATCTCAATTGTTTTTATACCACAGACTGCAATTCTCAGCAAGATTCATGCAAATAACACACAGAAAAAGAAAATACATAGAAAGGACAACAAGTCACAGCAAAAGAAAAGGCTTACAGACAACAGTTCTAATATCAAATATGGAGCTGATGTAATTGTAAACATTTATTACGAATAGCAATTCTCCTCTACTATTATTCTCTTAGTATATACACAAGTGTGCTATATTCTCAGCTAATATATTGGCATTTCCTCAGAATTTCATATGAAAACTGAAGACCTTAATCTTCTTTATTTCATTTCTAATTTGAATTGAAAAAAGTTCAATGAAATTTTGATACCAGTTATTTCTATTCTTTTTGTTTCCTTTGTTTCTTGACATTGCTAATAATAGGGTAGAGGCAACATATTTCATAATTACACAGAGTTTTGCATACTAAAAACTGCAAGAAACTATTTATAATTAGTGCATATTTTACACAGAAATTAAGCATGACATAAAGTTAATACAGGCAATGAATGAACCATAATTATTTGGTAAATTAGCAAAGGCCAAAACACCTACATGCCGAAAATCTGAGTGGGCACCTAATTTTACCTACTTATTGGTATGGATTTTACCTTGGAGTCCTTGGAGCGTGAGGGTTTTTCCATTTTAAGATTTCGGCGATATTCACCGTCAACTCTGGATCCTGCTTCATACTCTTCTGTACTAATAAAATGAGAGGGGGAATTGCTTGCAGATGAAAATTCAGAATACCGCGGTGTGTCATCCAACCATTTGTTTATATCCTGAAAGATCAAATTGAAAGACTGAAATAGCAAATTCCAAAATTATATTCATTTCTGAAAGTACACTAATATTCTATTATTCGAAATATAGAAAATTAAAACAGTCTACTTGGAATTAGATGTATTTGAAATATAACACTTTTGAAACTAGAGAATTAGGTTAAAGAGAATGCAAGTGGGAAAGCAAAAGACAAGTAATCAGGAAAAAGATGCAAAAATATATTAGAAGTGTGCAGGAAAAAAAAAAAAATAAAAATAGTTACTGATACAGTACAATACTGACAGTAAAGAATAAAATAAATGAAAGAGAATGACCGATAATAAAAATATCTGAAGTTCTAAACTCCCAACTTCTCAGAATTATGGGCAATTTCTGGACATCATGAAAACATAATAACTTGCACTCCACCATTACAAAATGTAAAATAATGTCTTCAAGGTGCTTGTAATTTCTGGTTCAATATGTTGTTTCACATGCCTCGAAAGTCAGGTCAATATTATGAATTCCAAATATTTTTCTACAGTTCTTCCTGTTTCATCATTTGTTCGTTCATTGCCATATACAAAGTATTTTCCTCTTACAATGTCATTTCAAAATTCATCAAAATACATTCATTAATATGTATAGGCAAAATCATTTACTGCTTCACTTTGCAAGCAACTCAGAAGTCAAAAACATTGTCATTTTGCTACAATTGGTTCCAGAAGCCATGCAGTTTTTAAGAAAATTATTTAAAATTTAAAAATCTTTAGTTAATATGTTTCACAGAATGTTACTGAATTTTCAGCCTACTTATTGGACCTTGCATTTAACTACATTTTTTGAATGCCCTACATACACATCTTTAGAACAAAGTAAAATAATTTCACGGGAGAATAATCTATCTAAAAATTGGTTATCTGGAGGGGAAACCTTTGAAACAATTAACATTAAAAATGTGCATGAAATCTGAGGAACTTAAATTTACAGGGAAGGCCAACTTCTGGGCTCAAAACCTAATAATGAGTGTTTTAATCCTCGAAATGTAGTTTCTGTGGAAAATAGGGGAACATTCAACACAGAAACACAAGTATGAAAATTAATGTAGCAAAAAGACACACACTGCCATGTAATGTGAGTAAATAGAACACAAAGTGCAAGAACAAGAAAGAAAACAAACTAAATTTTGAAAATCAATATACACATACATACACACATTCACATTGATTGCTTTGTTAGGAACAAAAATGAAAGTGAAATAGAAGAAATGAATAGAATTAATTAGAATACATAATAGGAAAAAGGGCAGTAATAGACAGACAATAGAAATTATAGAAAAAAAGGAAATCAAAAAATAATCAACACTTGATTTTAACTTCAGAAACTATTTTCTAACTTAAAAAACATTTCATTTTCATAATATTTCTTTATGTTTTTGGAATCATTAAATCATATTAAAAAGTAAAGAGTCCTACAAATTCGTTCAAATAAGTAGCAAATACAACAGTCAAGACCAAAATGGACAATTGTAAACAATAAAAATTGTCATTGCATCTTTTAATCCTTCAATTCTCATGGTATTTTAGGAGGAAAATATTGTATTCATGTTAAGGGAAACTAGTGCAGCAGAAACACTGCAAGTGGGTAGAAAAGACTGGAGGCCAAGAGATATTTCTGCAGTGGTCAATACTTATTAAATGCCAGTTCTCTATCCTGTCAAATGGGGCACTTGCTATACCACAGAAAATTAGAGTGGGATATATTGTTTAGAAGAATTCTAAATGATTTCATTTAGCATTTCCAGTAGGGAAGGGAGACCAAGAGGCGATGATACATAAGTTATAATCTCTCTCATTCAAATGCCAACCTCACCTTCCCGTGGTGGCTCCCATTAACAAAAATTAGGCAATGGCAATCGGGAATTGGTGGGATAACCATAATTCGAATTTCCTTGGGGGTAAATACCCAAGTGGATACAGCAATGTACAAGAACAATGCATGCAGGCAGGAATCCAGGCCTCAAGATGGCAGCCTCATTAATATTCTAGGGGATTTTTGAGCTAATAACCCATAATTCTCTGAAATTTTAAAAACTATTCGAGAAACCAAAATGAGAAGAAATGAAAAACTGTGAAAAAAAACGCCAGAGAAGTACCTATAGAACTTCTGATTAGAAAGAGGAAATGGTGATGGATAGGAAAACAACTGAGAAAACATACAGGAGCAATAGAAACGCAAGCATTAGAATGGATCTCACAGGGGCAAGCTGCAGGAAGGGGCACGGAGGACGGTATACAAGAAGAAGGAGAAGACTGGAAAATCATGGAGGGAAATTAGAGAAGTAGCGGCTAATTGAGTTAGATGGAAGTCTCTCATTGAGGTCCTATGCTCCTATGAGCTCCAGTAGTAAAAAAGGATGAACGAGTATGGAAAAGTTTTGGCCACGATAAAAAACTTGAGCTCAAGTTGCATACTATCTATTGTTCACTGCACATAACTAAAATAACAAACTGTTGTCAACAGCAAATGCCAATTAAAAAGGAGTGCAATGACTCAGAAACAGTACAAAAAGTAGTGTACAGTTAATTATCCATAGAAGATGCTAACAAATAACAAAGCGAAAAATAGCACTGATTTTTGAAAACCACTGAAAGCTGATGATGGTACATAAGTAGTTATCCATTTTAGTCTGCCAAACAACTTCAGTTTGGCACTAAAAAGATTGACATTTTCAGAGTTCATATACATGTTCAAGGTGAGTAAATGTAGAAATGAAAAAATTAGTGTCTGATTTCGATTTGAATCATCTACAAGAATATATAGCAACGCAGAGGATAGATCATATGAAGAAAAGAAGAAGAAGAAGAAGAAGAAGAAGAAGAAGAAGAAGAAGAAGAAGAAGAAGAAGAAGAAGCGGAAAAAGAAGGGAGGTGAGGAAACAATTCAATTAAAACTTCTGAGATGAGAATTAGTTATGACACAAGTACAACAAAAAAAGCAAAAACAAAATAAACACTGACACAAGCATTGTCAATAACTACAAGTGATAGAACACTGATAAAGAGTGCACAATACATGCTTCAGAGCATAGTACAGTGTAATATTACACACAAGCAACATTACACTCATGGTTTTGATTTGTAAAACAGTTCCATTCATGCATACCCAATCTTGATTGGTACATGTATTAACACATGGAAACTTACTAAGATAAAGTCAAAGAGCAGTAGATACAATCCTCACAGAACACTAATTTATTATTAATTAATATTATTTATGCATTTTATTAAAAAATATATTGATCGCAAACACAGTCATATTTATCATGAACATTACGCTTCAGAATGAGTTTCTTTTATACATCATTATGTTGTTATTGTTTTAAAAATTAAAACATTAAAATTTATCTGTCTTCCACTTTTTATTTTTAGTTATAAAATTAATCAGAAATTAACATTTCATGTTGCTCACAGCATATTACTATATTTTAAGGACAGAAAAGCCATGTGCTGGTAATATATATTTGTTCTGAAAGATCTGAATAATGTGGGTAGGAACTAGTAGTTTTAAATAATATTTTTCTCAAATTTCAGGAATTCAACCAATTGTTGCCAAGTTAAAAATGATTTAGTGGATCAAAACTAGTTCAACTCATAAGAGCTCCTTGTTGAAATCACAAAATAAAATACTATTTGAGAATTGACTCAAAGGGAATACACCACCATCCACATCCACTAACCTGTATGCAAATGTGAATGAGATTACATTTTTCAACTTGAGCAATAAAATTTATTTGTAACAAACACCGAACTTCCCACAAAAAGATGCAAATCAGTAACAGTGTTACAATATATCATATACACAAAAAATCGGTGCCATTTTCTCATCAGCTTGTCACTAATGATATAAATTAGGTTATATATTTACATTTAATATAAATTATACAACTATTGAAAAATTAAAAAAGCCAAACAAAAACATTCTTTCGCACAACAGTAAAACTTACAAATGACAAATCACACCTCCTTTCTCGTGTACACTGGGGAGAATGAGTTCGAAAGTCATATTCCTTTTTAGTAGATTTCAGAATGTTGACAACAACATAAATATTAGTCTCCATGAAAAAAGTTACTTTAAAATTGTAATCTAACATAAAAGACATCTGCTTTACCCCTGCTAACGATTACAGTTCTAAGAGATCCTAAATGACATGAACGATACAGAGAAAATTATAAAAACTGGCCTCCAACGAAAAGCAGAAAACATTTTAAACAATATCCCAATCTAAGCCACAACTGTTTCTTAACTAAAAAACCACCCCCACTTCTCCTACCAGTTGTTGTGCTTCGAAAATTTTGAAATTTCCTGTCTCTTCCATGTTTTCCATACCAAAAAATCTTGTTTTCCAGGTCATTTGTAATATCACAGAAAGTATTTTCAAATGATTTAAAGACATATTTATTAGAATTTACATAGATTTATGAACAGTTTCATATAAACAATACAATCACTTTTTGAATCACAGTTTAAGTAATATTACAAATGATTGAAACTAAATTAGCAATAAAGGATTCATGGTAATATAATTATTCAACATTAATCTTTCTAAACTATAAAGAAACTACAATTTATTAGAAACACTGATTGCCTTCAGTATTTCTTCTTCTATGTTTGCATTTTCAGTTGCAATTTGAATATTTCTGTCGTTCAATTTATAGTGTTTTTTTGTTGTTGTTTTTTGTTTTGTGTCTTGGCCTTCTTTCCAGCTCTCCACTCATCCTTTTGGCATCTTTATTCTTCATTTCATGAAGCTCTTCTCTATATCAGCTAAGAGCATTTTTCACATATTGAATCATGCATTTTGCAATTTCAATTTTGCCTATCCCTCTTTTACTCTGAACCCCATCCCAGACATGACTCTGAATTACTAACGATTTCTCCAACATGTTATTGATGAGACTCCTTATTCACTGAAAATCCACATTCAATATTTCATTGGCTGTGTCAGAGGATATGCGACAAGAAGCAAAACTGTCACATTGGAAAGAAATACTACCACACAAAAAAACAAAAGTGTTGGAAAAAACCAACAGCAGGAGTAAAGGAAGGTTAACTCAAAAAGTTCTATATTGTTTTGTTCCTTTCCATGGCCTTCCCCTGTTTTTTCCATGGATGAAAAATTCCCTGCTTTCTCCAGGTTTTACAGAACAGTTTTACAAAGATTTCTGTTTTACAGAACGAAGAACATGTTTTCACATTTTAATTTTATATTCCTTTAGGCTTTGACTTTTTTAGAATTTAAGTAACACTGTGTTTCAGAAGTCTACCATAATACAATTTTTTAAAATATCCAATTCGAGTTTTAAACAATTTTGGCAAATGCTAAAAGCAACTGCAGATTGTAATAACAGATTTTAATTGCAAATCATATTTATAAATTAAAATGGCGTGGAATCTAGAAAACTTAATGTTTTTCATGTGATTTTGGTTCCTGACGGCAGATTTGAAGTTAAAGCATTGAAATTGCGAGATGAGATAGAGAGAGAGATAGATAGATAGAGAGATAGATAGATAGAGAGATAGAGAGATATAGAGAGATAGAGATATAGAGAGATATAGAGAGATAGAGAGAGATATAGAGAGAGATATAGAGAGAGATATAGAGAGAGATATAGAGAGAGATATAGAGATAGAGAGATAGAGAGAGAGATAGAGAGAGATAGAGAGAGATAGAGATAGAGAGAGATAGAGAGAGATAGAGAGATAGAGAGAGATAGAGATAGAGAGACAGAGAGAGAGAGAGAGAGAGAAAGAGCGATAGAGCGCGCGTGAGAGAGAAAGAGCGATAGAGCGCGCGTGAGAGAGAGAAAGAGCGATAGAGCGCGCGCGAGAGAGATAGGGAGAGAGAGCGAGCGAGCGCGAAAGAGCGCGCGCGAGAGGGAAGAAGAAGAAAAGAAGAGGAGGAGAAGAAGAAGAAGAAGAATTGCCATTTGACCCGATTTTGAAATCCTGCAATCCGGAATTTCGTTTGCCTGATGTGCCATGGAATGCTTTCTAACATTTATGTTTAGTCTTTTAAATAACTAATGTCTTCATTATATCTCGATTGGTTATTTTGTCAAAAATACTACAATCGGTACGTTTTGTTAAAATACATCCTGCGCATGTTTTCTTATGCTCTGAAATTTCTCACCTTTTAACCATAAACAGTTGAATGATGAATAAATGTACTAAGTGAGGTTGGCAACATTTTAATTTTTATGAAAATATAATTTATATCATCTGTGACAGAAGCTAATGAAGTGTTAGTACAGATTTACAGTTTGTAATATACACTGACACTGTTACTGATTTGCTTCTTTTTTTTTCTTTTTTTGATGGAATTCTGTGTTTGTTACAAATGAATTTGCTCCTTTTGGAATTCAAGTCAAAATATTACCACTTATAATTATTTTTCTTCTGCTTTTGTATACAACACAGACGTTCCACTGTATTAACATTGAATTATAAAATTATTATTTTATTTTCTTTGAAATGCCTTCACAGTCTGATTTACACAACCTAAACATCATGATATTCACATTTTTTCCCACAGTAAGAATTACGCAGTACCAACTGAGGAAGACCACAAAATGTAGTCTGAAATGTTAGCCATCAAGTCCGAGACGTGGTGCATCCCGGATAGCCCAGAAGATACAAATTCCGTCTGCCTATGCAATCATAATAGATAAGGAGACCATAAATTCAGTTGCCCCCGCCTCTCATTTTAGGCTGACACTGTCTTTCAACAGGAGTCTTCTACACCTTTCACATGCCATCTTCCTTTCTCTTTCATATTTTACCCATATTTAAATTAATTTATTTTTCTCCTTATCGATGAGCCAATATTAGCTTTACTTACAAACAATGATCATATTAAGTCATGCCAATTTAGTGGTTGTTCACAAGACACTTACAGTGTAATTCTGCCCCAGCACAACAGTTTCTTTTTATATTGAAGAAATATTTTCCGTCATCACACAAAGTAGGTTGTTAAATAAAATGTTTCTCATGGACCGTGGGCAACACTGACCTATCACGTACGCAGCCAAACTACCACATGGAACTCCTTTACCTGATATCATAGTTCTATTCCAACACAATATAATTGAGACAAAAACACAGATAAATTATTGCTGAAATCGCTTCAACAAGTCATGCATATAACAAACAGAATGTAATGAAGCTAACCTTCAAAGTTTGCTCTGTAGCCAACTCCAAAGCTTCAATATCTGGAGCAGTTTTAGTACCAGTTTTCTTCTTTCTTTTTGTACCATTATGATTAGGAAGGCCTTTTGACTCTCCCTCATCTCGTGTGCTGCTAGAATCAGAATCTGGAGCTTCTACAGCAGCTTCAGATTTTTCTTCCGAGTCCTTTTCCATATCAGGGAGCTTTTCGTCTTCATCGCTGGATGGAGATGATGGGAGGCTTGGTGGTAAACTGGGACTCCTGAAATATACCATAACATTTAAGAACTCTTTCGAAATAATAAAATGCATTTTTTAAATTTTAATTTATTTGGGATTAAACAGACTACGTAACTCCAAACCCTTATTGTGTCCTGTCCATACAGACTGCAGCTGAACTTTCAGGTAGCCTGAGCTCTAAGCTGCTCAAAGAGTGAAATAAAACCCAATATATATAAGCGAATCATAGTTTCAGAAAAAAACTAGCTAAAAGGTAAAAAGCAACATAATACAACCCTTATTAACAAAGTAATAGGATACATCAACTATACTCCAAGAATAGCAACGAACTCGAAAAATCCTCGATGAAATGCTGTTAGCAGGGAGTGTCAAAGCACTGTTGGAGCTAATTGCCGGTGCCGGCATTTGAGCCGTTAGTGTTGTGTTATTCATCCATAAGAACTGAAGCACAAGCAATAGGTTTAATACCTTAATGTTACAGGCAAGGTCTCACGTGTATAAAAATAAACTACTTCAACCCCCCAGTCAATGAACCACATAACTCAACAAAATGGCAGCAGATGAGGTTAGGTCACATCACAAAGCAATGCAACAGTGAAAACAGGCACTGTTGATGACATTGGCTTGAATTGTGTGATTTGCAAATGAAATCTGACAATACATAATATAAGATTAATTTAACAGATGTAAAATATAGTACTACTTCATAACACTGGCAATTCTAATACAAGAAGTAATAGTTATTTATATTTTTAAGATTGAAATGGTTTTTTTTTTTTTTTTTCAGGAGACAGTGGTGGGGTGGAATCCAGTAAAAACTCAAGCTCGAAAAACATAACCTTTCAGTTGATGGGCACACGCCTATTTGTTGAACTTACATTTCAAGCCATCACAGTTGTAAATTAAGGATTGCGGAGTAACCAATCACAAAATACAATAGTATAGTATATAGTTGTAGCATATACCTCCCTAATCCTTAATTTACAATCATAGATTACCACAATATCTCTGCTGCCAGCATGGAATTTATTACAGTTGTGCTTAAATCACCTGATGCAGATACCTTTTAGGCCCAGTCCTCCCTTAACTTTCACAATTCTCGAAAATTATCTTGAGTTACTGTTTTCATTAGCGTTCTCTTTCTTCTGTAGTCTATACATATTCCCCGACAGTATCTTACTCCTGAAGAAATATGAAAAGTATTTTATTAAAATTGTCATGTATTAAATACATGCCCGTGTTAGACCCTGTCAGCCCACCACGACCGACGTGTGTTTTGGAACTTGTTTCTATCGGATAAAGTGAACCAAAAACATTGGTCCTCAGAGGTTTACTACAACCGAAGTCGACTGTATATTTGCTGTCAAAAAGTTTAATGAACAAAGGCTAAATTCACGATAGTAACGGACCACTAACCATTAGTATCCACGTACAATCCAAAACCGAAAACTCGTACTGATACAATAAAGAAGCTACAACGTTGGGAATTGTTTCTGACGGTCTATGCGATGTTATTTATTACCGCGCAGCACCCAATACTCCTTGTACAAGCCACCAGACGGACCTGACCAAGAATTTGAAATGATTGCATACAGGTGTATCTCCATGACGACGCTACAGTACGAACATTTCACGCCGACGCTTAGCAGGTGTCATCAGCAATGAACTAGGACATGCATCTAGCAGCAATTAAATAATTTGAACGAGATGATTGACCTACAACTAGCCACAATCGTGTTTAAATTTACAAACTGATTTCATACAAAAGATATGATGCTGGAGATTCCGCTGGCGCTGGGGGAATACTGAAATTAAAAATTGGGCACAACCTTTAGACACCTCCTATCAGTTGACCAGTCCATACAGAAGCAAGTTGGAAGTCATCTCCACAGATTACATACCTGTTGTATGCAGGTGGGAAAGCAGCGAGACCAGATCATAATTAAAAACGATCTCCGCACTTGGGAGAGCAACATACGAGCTAGCAGTGCACTTGACCAATTGAGACAACTACCTTTTCCACAGGTAGTCCGGTAACACAACCAGGAAACATAGAGTCCTACAGAGTTTGGCCAGTAACCCCAGCAAGACCTTTCTTAGATGTTACGGTGCGGCAAGCAGTTGCACTGTTTTTCTCAATAAACTTTCCATGAAAAGGAGAGAGAGTGGTGGATCAACAACACGGACGCCCCAAGGCTAGCACAAACACCGACCCCGGACAGCCAGCCAGTAATGTTTACCCTACAATCCCCCGTGTGGGAGCTGGTAGCCTGTCGTAATGGCCCTACGGCCGGAGCAACGCCAACAAGTCCAACCAAGCGGTCACAGCAAGGCTTGGCCGCCCAGTAGTTGGTAGCTTCGAGAATCGGGGGGGGGGGGGGGGTACTTTCGAGTGTGACACTGATTTTGTCGGCGACCAGACACTCTTGGAATAACTCCCCAACGATTTCTACAACTAGGCAATGACCTCGCTGAGCCACATTTATTTCAATCTTGAATAAATACTTATATGTTCACAGGTACGGATATTGATTTAATCACTGCTCGTAGATATAGCTGCATTCGGACCTGAATGAATTCAACAGGAAATTAGTGATGATACTCTCTTCCCACTCCTCATATTATTTGGAACGATTATACGAGGTGTTACTAAAAATTACGGCGAATGAAATTTTATAGCGGCATCTGCTGACGCTACATCAATATGCTGTAATTTGTCCAGTAGCGTGATCAGCTGAGACAGGCACGGGCAAGTTGTAACACGTTCGAAGTGGAGTGAGGTTAAGTTTATCGAGTCTGTCGCGCGCAAAAAAGCCAAAGAAGCTCAAGAAATGTTAAAATCGGTGTACGGCGATAATGTGGTAACTCTGAAGACTGTTTACAAGTGGTATGACCGATTTAAATACGGAAATGAGACTCAAGACGAGCAGCGTGCAGAACGTCCAGTAACGTCAAAAGCAGATGAAAATGCGCAAAATATGGAAACAATGTTGTAGGCTTTCACGGTTGGAGTCAATATTCCTCATGTCTTCCGGGCTGATGGGCCGTGGTCCAATTGTCTTTGAGATGCCAAACGTTTCGTCCACGACTGCGGTGGGCATCTTCAGTGGCGAGGTCTCGGGCGAAGTGACGGTGGCTGACTGGCGACTGACGAAGTCAGGAAGTGAGGAATGTGTTGTGTTGTCAGTAGTGGTCCATACGCGAATAATAAAAATAATAATAATAATAATAATAATAATAATATCCTGGATCTTTTTTTTTAAAATTTCCATTTACTTCAAGCACTAATGAGAAAACTCAAAAGCTTTTTTTTCATAAAAAAATTTTACATGAATTTATTTTATACACAAGATCCATTTTTTAGAACAGATTTTGTTTCAGAAAAAAGTCTCCATCATTAAAATTGCACTTTTGCAATGTTAACTACTTGCCATTTTCGAAAATCGTTAAAGGGGCTTGTTTCAAAACTGTCACAAAGGACAGGGCCTTGTCAACCCTCTGCGTTTGCTTATGCTAAGGACAATACATTTAAGCGACTCAATGTCATTTTCGAGTCGTTGGGCGGACCACCACCACTTGACTTTCTCAGCGGACAAGTCGCACGCAATCTGTTACACCTGCAGCAAACACAAATACACTAAACGTTTAACACCTCCAAACCAAATTACACTTGGCACATACAAACTAACGTGGGCGCCTAAGGCAACTTATTTAGGCGTCACATTTGATCGAAGGATGCGCTGGCATTTACAAGTCAGAGGAATTCGATCAAAATTACAGCAAAGAGTTCGACTCTTACAACCTCTTTTGAGGGCCTACACTCCCCTTGGAACTTCGCTTGGCACTCTATAAAACGTGTTACCGGCCTGAGGCCACCTAAGCTGCGGCAACATTGTGGACCACAGCACAGACGTACAAGGATACACTTAAGCTAGGACAGAACGAAGTTTTACGACTCATAGCTCGCCCTCCGTTTCGGAAACGGTTGAAAGTACAGAGGAAGGAACTTGATATCGAGTCCTTCACTCAAAACTGGACACGGCTTTCGTTTAACGAAGCCTAACAAGTCTTTCAAAGCATCCAAGTTGGGGTAACGCTAAAACAATTAGCTCGACATGTCCACACAATAGGGCAAAGACGACAAACACTCCCCTCTGATATTATGAGGGCGTAGTGCAACACAAAAGCCGATTTGGGTATTGACTAAGGTCCGACGCGAACCCACACCAGGATTATTTCGCCCTTAAAAATCCACGGCTTCGATCGGGTTTGAACCCGCCAACTTGGGTACAACAATCCAATACGCTAACCGTTACACCATCGCCGCCGCCATTCTCCTGCTTCTGCGCACTAGTAGCAATAGGGCAACTTTCGCACCTGGGTATTGGGAGAAGAATATGTGGTCGTTGCCATGGACAAGGGGCCGCTGAAAGTGGACGGAATCCGACAAAATAAATAGTCTCCAAGCGCGCCAGACAACAGGGTTCAATAACAGTGTGACGTGCTATTCATATAAGGCTGTTACACAAAGGTTGTAAATTAATTTATTAAATCATAAGTCGTAGTCAATTGGTAAGTAACAGGTCAATATAATAAATAAAATAAAACTGGCATAGTAATAAGCACATTAGGGGGGGGGGAGGTAAGGGGGGATCGAAAATACAAGGGCAGAGGCGCTGGTGCGGACGATCTTCTTTGGCGCTGTTTGATTTCAGGTGCTGAAGAGGCAAGCACTGGAAGGAGACGGCGGGACGCCCACGCCATAAAATAAATAGTTAAAATAAACGTCGGATAGATTAGTATGTATTCGGCTTCTGACGGCAGGTTTTCCCCCCTTCAGGGTTTTTTTCCTGAGCCGCACCTTATGGTCTCTTTTCCGCGGCTTTGATGAGATGGCCAGACCATTTGGGGTGAATACCAGAATTCGAAAGATTAGAACGCGAAAGGATGTAGGTATTGTAATGGATTAAAGGCCTTCGGCCTAGCCACATAGGATCAAGTAAGCTAATTTGTTTGTAATAATTACCTATTAAATAAAATAATAATTTATTACGGGTCTTAGTAAAAGATAACAGTATATTTCCCAATAATTCTGCGTCAAAACACATTCAGAAACTCCGGGAACTTTCGCGCCACCATTGAGAATATCCAATACAACAAATAAAATTGACGAATTGATACTTTCAATAACACCATTAACATCAATTATAAGTCTAATCAATTCCTTAAGACCTTTCCAGAACTTACCTTTACGCTGAAGCAAGCAATTAATTTAATGCGTTTAACAAGGCAAATAATGAATTAAGATTACATGCATCACAACTACAAATGCACCAACAGAATATTGCAATAGTTGCTAATTTACCTCAAAGGTTCTTCTTCAACGGTTACAATTTCTTTTTTCTTCCTTGTCGGAGGCCGCTGACTGGGAGGCTTGTCTGGTACTTTGTCTATAAATTCAACTGCTATTTCTTCATCAGAAGAAGGTTCTGACTCCAAGTACCTATCAACTGCTGATTGAAATGCTTGTTGGAGATTCCCCACCATTTCTGTGTATTCTAGAAATATTGCAAAAAATTAATAAGTCATGAAATGTAAATGCAGGAAAAGCAACTGCATTATTTCGCACCGTTTCGTAATCATAATGTCTAGTTTCATCCAGACAGGTCATGCCATTTTCTAATACCGACTAATAAATAAGCCCGGCCTTTTTCTTGTTAAAGTGCAATAGCGAAGGTTTTGCAGCAATCTCAGGGTACCACTGTCCTTAAAAAATAGCAAGGTTGAGAGGTTGAAGGGGACGTTTTGCCACCTTCCGTGGAGCGTTGCAGGAAGAAACGGGATAAAAGTTACCCTTCAAGACGAAGCGGTCCAGTGCACGCCCGTCAACTATGAAACTCAAGTGAAATATTAGTTCTTGCACACAGAATATTAGATTGATGATACACCCTTTTACAAATTATATGTTGACTAATTTCGCCTATTAGACTTTATGAATCCGAAATTATTTCCATCAATGTAGAATTCCACTAAATTTCTGACTTTACTCATTCGTCATTATTTCATCGCTTAAAATAAACGTTTCTGATAATTATTCATGATCCTACGATGTTATATTATTTTCTTACTGAACAATATGAACAATACTGCATATAGAACAGTCCAAAGGTTGATTTTCTTCCCGAGTATTGATATCTGTTGAGACTTATGGGTCACAAATACTTGTTTTCTGAACCTTAAAGAAATAAAGAGTTTAAAACTCATTTTAAAGAAACTTCCAAATTCAGAATTCCTACAACGTGGCTATCTTGTTTTGTTTTTGTTGTATCTCGGGGAGGATAATACAAAAGGCTTTATAAAAAAACATAAGGGGCCATCTATAAATTATGTAACGCAAATTTGGAGTATTTTGAATAACCCTTCTACCCTCTGTAACGCGCCTTTCACTCCCCCCGTCGCTAAATAATTTCTGAACGCTTGCTACAAGACATTTACAATAAAGAACAATAAATTATATATCTAGTTTTTTCAACTTGGATTAAAGAAACAAAATCAAGTTAGGACACTAAAAACATAAAATCATATTAATTACATTAATAAACATTAGAGAAAAAATGAACTAAATATGCCCAGTCACAACAATTGAGATGACTCATATAAAGTATTAATTTCAAAGACGATACTTCTTTACGTCACATTTAACAATGGCAATAGAAATAACTCCTACCTTGCGGAACAATTTTCATACAAAATTCAGTTTTTTAATAGTTATTTTCTTCAAAACTTGCAAACACTTGCCAATATCGTTAATGGCAATGCACATTTCAATTCCAATGGTTCATGAACAAGGCTTACAATGAAGTATTCGGTTACACTAAATAGGTAAAAGTTAAATTAAAAATAATGATATCATTATGTTAACAACTACGTTGGAGCGTAAAATAAACTGTTTCGGGTTTGTTATAAACACGTCAAATATTTATTAAAAATTACAATGTTTCCAAAATAATAATTCATTCATTCTGAACATATAAATAAAAGGGACTGTGATAGAGCCTACACATATTAGAGTAACCTGAAAATACAAAAATTAATTTAAAAAGACTATTCTGATTATCTGAATACAATACGTAGGTATTACAACGCATACTTATGTATTGTATGCTAAGATCGATAGAGAACTATGTTCCATCCAGTGGAAACATTTCAGGAACATAAAAATTCGCAAGATTGTTTACATACCCATTCAACGAATACAAATGGAAATTAATTTTTCTGTTAGATAAAGTAAGTGTTTATTGTGGAGGAAAACAATTTTCAATCCGGTACAGACGCAGATATGAACAAAACTGTTTTAATGTCAGCTTTTACAACCTATGATCGCTATTACTACAACAGTCTTTACGATGCAATAGCGTTTTATTGTTTTAAGGATATTGTTTGCCACTTCATTCAATAAAGGGTAATGCAGAGCAAGCTCAATATCTCTATTCTGATGTCGATATGATAAAGTCCGGTTTGTTGAAATTTCGACAACTCGAGGTAGGACTTTCGGCTATTAGGCCAATTTTCGTGCATTAACCTTGGCACAGTAAAGACGTTTTCAATGCATTCGTAAAGCTCTTTCAAGTGCACAAACAGTGGAAATTGTTGGGTGGAGGCGCCTATGCGAAGATTTTTTCATAGGTAGCATGCATGCATGCCTCCTCGAGGCAGCATTTTATGAGACGGCGTGGAAAGATGTTTTGGAACGGAATCTCGGCGACGGCGTCTCACACCGTTGGTTGAACACGTCTCGATGGACTTGTTAAGGAATAATTTCAAACATTTTTCACAAACTTTAATAAAGTAATGACTTGGAACTCACATTAGAAATAAACATCTTCCCCTCGTGTATTTCGACACCAAGCGGAACAGCAAATTAGCAATATACAGATGTTTGCCAAGAAAACTGCGTAATTTCACGTGTTATCATGGTTCTTACATCACAGTATTCGACCAACAACTTCAAATTGGTATGTATATTGTGACGCACCGGCCGACTAGCGACCGATGCACATAAGCCCTGGGAGCGGCCATGAGCTCCCCGTCAGCGACTAGTATAGAAAAGAGGAAACCACAACAGGAAACATTGAAAATGCGTAGGGAAACTCCCGCGTAAAACTTGACGTAACGACGCTAAATACGCCGGGGAACTACCGAAAGAGACAAGTGCAGATTATTCACAGAAAATCGGGGATTCACTTCACACACGACGAGGTCCAACCAATGACTTCAACGATACGGGACGTGGAAGTTGACGAATCAGACACACGCTATTAAACAAGAGAAGGGGGAGCTGGGGAAGGCGGTGAGGCAGTGAAGGAGGTAGAGAAAGATGCGAGTGCTTGAGGGAAACAGACATGTTACAGCACACAAGTTCAACGGTGAGAAAGACTTTTAATAAATCATGTATGCGATAAACTGTGAAAAGACAAAATCGTGCTCGGTCTGCGAAGCATAAGGGAGCCGACTGTAAATAAATGACGTAATTGCGCTGGATTGACTGGGCGGAATGGAGTGAAAGACAGTTGGCATGAGAGAGGCATCGATGAGGACGAGAGCGAAGGATAAGAGCACGGCCAGGTAGCGAGGACGTCCAGGAAGACGTGGAGCTCCAGTGTGATAGAGGAACCCTCTCAGACGGAAGGGGCCAATGGCCTCCAGACAACGTGGCGGTGCATTCAGTCGCCGCCACCTGAGAACGAACCAGCGGCAAAAGTACTAAATACCAGAGACGAATTTTAAGTGTTTTTAATGCTTAAATCATATGTTGCCGTGCTACCGACGTTCAATATCGTTTCAGCGGCGAAGGCATACGTTACCAAATACGAACAGGCGGCACAGCGAATTTCAAATCATATTCTGACTCTGAAGTGAAAGCTGGAACACGGTTTTCTCTTCTATGTAGTAAAGCGAAAGTTATGTAATATTGCGAAAAATTGATGTAGCGATTTTGATGGAAAGAGGAAGAGTCTAATACTGGAAAACATTTTTTTTTCTTCAGAAGTATGCCTGAAAACTAGCGACTATTATCCCTAGATGCGATAGGAGTGAGGAATTTGGTTATTTTGACAAAAGGAATTTTACGTCGAATTTGTAGTTGTTTCCAAGGAAAATCGTTTTTAATATACGGGAGCGAACATTCCTCGTCACCTGATCTTGCCTACAACTCTCATTGCAACTAATGTTGGGAAAGGAGTGGGGGTTGGTATTCCGGGGCTCAAGAAAAGGTGCGGAAATCGTCCACAGGATTTTCAACAAAGTTGATATTCCTGGATCGATGTCAATATTTTCTCAATAATGATTCCATTTTCTGGGAGGGGTGGCTCGAATAGACAAATACTAAATACATACAAAATGGCGCAGGTCCGATTTTCACTGAAATCTATGAACTTTCGGAAATTCCGAAAGCTAAAAAAATATTGACCCCTCCTATAACATTATTGGAGAATTCGGAGGAAATATTTTACTACATATTGGAACAAGATTTATCGAATATTCTGATACCGGAGCCTCGGAATGAGATTTTTGTCAAAAAAAAAATTAAGTTTTTTTTTCTGAACGAATACAATACTTTCTCTATACTGCGTAAGCAGTAGGTGAGAAAGTAAAAATGATATTAGAAATAAATATATAATAAAATGACCAATAATCAATAAGTCAACTTGGAAACAAATCGAGAGTACAGTTCCATTTATTTCATCTCTTGTGTATGACGTGTTACTAAAATGTTTGATATGAATCTCATAAAAATGTCATCAAGTTATTCAAAAGCTAAGGAACAAACATCACCGAAGAACTTCTGAATTTCCAAGCTTCCCTCTGGCAATGGTCATTCCCAAGTAATGGTGTTCAACCAACTAATGTTTATTCTCACTACTGGCCTCGACAATCAGATGTGGAGATCACAGAGGTGATGAGCATTTCTGTACAGCGTGCTGAGGTTTGTGTGGTCCTATGAAAGTAGCTGTTCAGTTATTGATCATCGAATTGCAAGTTTTGGGTTAATAATGAAATGTTAACTGACGTGAAGAAAATAACGGTAGGTGTTTGTCCAAGTGGAGTTGTCAAATATAACATATAGTAGTCCACATATTTATATTTAACGAAACACTGATATGTATAGAAACCAATATTCATCAGAGAAGTAAAACAACTGGCATTCCCGCTTGTTTTTCCACGCCAAAAAAGTTTCCGGGTGTACTTCCCTCTTTACACGCTTGTTACACACCCTGGTAAAGCATTTTTTTATTAGCATAATAAATTAAGGTAGTATTTTCCTCCCAATTGTCTCCAGGTCCCCATGGTCTAAGAGACCAGGGAAAGTTCTTTACAGGGGACTGGGGCAGCGCTACCGGCATAATGCCATACCCCTTTGTCCATTTCCCGTACGTTAGGTTGAAGTCTCCAATCTAAAATTCATATTTGGAATGGTAATAATAAATCTGAATCCTTACGTGCGTACCAATTTAAAGCTCACACGCTTATCTGTCCGAGTTATACGTGACACGCACATCCGTGTATCCATACAGATATGTATGAAAACGTTATACGCATCTATCTGAAGCACTCTTGACCACCCTGGTACAGTGCCTTTTTCAAACAGTTTTATCTTGAAGCGCATATTATGAAGGAGAACTGTACTGTCTTCCTATTTGTTGCTATTGAAATTGGTTTGTTGTACATTATAACTTATAAGTCTATAATATGGAAATATTAAGGAGTAAGAATACTTTTTCCTGTGACTAACGGCGATTTTTTTAAAATCTGTTTTGTTTCTTTGTTTTTTTCTTTTCTTTCCACATTCACTTTTGAAGTTGGATTTCATTTTTAGCATGAAACGTTTCACCTTAGATCGTGAAAAAAAATCATGTAGATCCAGTAAAATACACAAATACTAAATGAGATCAAGTATTAATAACAATGGGAACAAAAACGTTGCACCTACCGCAACTGCGCTTTCGGTGGATACACATTTAACTCCACCTTCGCCTTTCTGATGACGATACGGAGGTTGTTTAATATGATGTAAATAGCATAGCACACTAAGTTTAAATCAGAGGTGTTTAGTGACCAAAAACATATTTAAAGCTCCTCTGCTGCGAACTGACCATTTTGAGCTTCGAATATTATGAACCTCGCTCGAAGAAGTACTTCACGACCTTGATACATAAACGACAATTTTATTACGACAGCGTTTGTCAGAAACATGCAAGATTTTGCTGATCAATACATCCAGAACACGTTTAAGATTTCTCTATGAATGAAACATATCACCCTCTAGAGCCAAGTCCTAACATACTATCTATTAAGGCAGTGAACTAATTAACAATCATGGAAATAACATATATGCAGTATTAAGAATACTGTCGAAACATTATTTAACGTACTCACAAATTAGAAATATAAAAAGTGCCTACCGCAATACATAATGAGTTGATGTGAAAAGCAAGAAGGTATGAAAAACATACGTACCATTATCAGTGCCATTGTATTTTCGACAGTTGTCCACAATAAGTTGAAAATCAGACTTAAATTCAGAAAAAGTCATGTATTCTCCTTCATCTAATTTATCTTCCATTCTCTGAAGATCCATAGGTTTGTTAATGATTGAATAATATCGTGGTGCATACTGTTCATCAACTGGTTCCAAGAAAGGCCAAGCATCCTCATGGTTTTTTATGAATTCAAGTATTTTGTACATTCCGGTTTGAAGATCTTCTTCGGTTTGTCTGAAACTACAACATGAACACACAATGACTCTTTGCAAAGCAATACCTATAAAAATAGTACAAAACATACTTCCTCTAATTATAGTATTCCCCATGTGAATCATTATATCTATGTACCAAATTACCGCAATTTGTGACTTAATGAGAGAATCCTATCGTATAATGCATTTCATAAGGATAAGCAGATATGTTCATCACAGCAGTTGAAACATTTGGGGAAAGGTCAATACGAAACGCAGTCAAGGCAATGATCAGAAATGTTTCGATAATCACAATGGTCCGTGAAATCCTATATTACTTTTTATTATTCACACGCATTAAATAAAAGTAAACCATGTAGAAAATACTTCAAATAAAACGATTAAATATTAATTGTAATATTGATACTAAAGAAGTTACGACAAAACACACAATCTTTTACATTTTTTCAACTGCATGAAACTTCACTTTGTTTCAATAGAAAAAAGTTCGGAACACCATTATGAGCGCTGCGTGCTTTTCTATTATAAATTATCTAAGATTTTTAGTGGGTACATGTCTCCACGTAAGAAAATTTCAAAGAAAAATTTGAGCTAATTTGTACAGTTTTTTTTAAAAATTTAATTTGGGGGTAGGTTTTTTCCATAGGTTTTTTACTTGGGAAAGTTTCAATTTTTGTTCACTTTTACAGAAAAAAACAAGTACTTTCATAAACTTTTTTTTTTTTTGTATTTGAAATTAGCCATATGTCATGTAGGAGGCAATTGGCCTAGGAGACGTTACATCCCGGGGTTCCTAGACGGATACCCAACCAGGAACCCGCGATGTTGAATTCGCTTAACCTTCGTGACTTCACCGAACTCTCCTAGCGATGCCGATTTTTCGGCCGTGGTCTTTCAGTAGAACTCCTGTATTCGCCTAGATGACTGAGGGAAACCAGGACAACCCCGGTCAGGATGGCTGGCACTGGGACTGAACCCGGCCCTCCCGAACGCGAAGGCAGCACGGTACGCCCTGAGCCACTTCCTTCAGTTCAACTTAATTACACATCCTTCAAGATAAATTAAAAACATCAAATCAAGTTATATATTAAATGCGTAATAGAAACAAAAATATGCACGTTTAATTCGCAAAAACCCAAATATTTCTTGAAAACGGGGCTTTTAAACATCTATTGTGAACGAAAATATTGTGGTGTTAACAAGCAAATACAGAGAACGTATATGGCTTCCATGAACATCTTAAAATGATTCAGATTATATGCCATTCGTGGCTGTTGTCTTCGCTCATTTCTCCTAATTAGGAAGGTGAAAGCAAACATGTGTTAGGCAGTGTTTTTTGATTGCACACGCACAGCGCAATGTAGTTGTCATTGCAGTCGTCTGCGCTATTAAGGGCCCCTACGTACTTTTCTTTGAACAGGAGCAGATTCAAAGACGAATTTGGGGAGAAAAAAATTTGTTTATTCAAAATGTTTTGGATGAATGTGTCATATTACAGATAACGTAGAATGACGCAGGCCAAACTCATATTGCGATACAAATTTATTCGTTTGAATGTTTAAACGAAAATATTTTTACTTGAAAGTTTTGTGACAAGTTAAAATTAATAGTTACTGAAAAAATCGGGGGGGGGGGTCACTTATTTCCCTCCTAAATTTGGAACATGGACAGCATGGAAAACCGCGCAAACTCATCACACTAACGCAGGGCGTGTACTGCGTCCGGATCCGCTCGAATCAGAACGTGCGATCAAAGGCATGCGTTCAATTCAACCCGCACCCTACTCCATTCAGATTCAACAACACGTGTCCGGCGCCGCGTTGCTCCTACCACAATTCGGAACCGTGCAATTTTCCGGAGAGGCGGGCAGCGTCGACGAACCGTAAGCTCATGGTATAAGACCGGTCACGAATCGTTCGCAACCTTAAGTTAAAAACAGAGTCTGCGAGATGTCAATTAGTAATATTTGAAGTTAATAAAATGCTACATTATAATATATAAAACGTAAGTATTTAAATTACTTCTCGGCATTGTGTACATCTGGTAACTAACTATGCAGCTAATGATATACTAATGATGAACGATGATATATTAATAGTGCGGTGCCAGCCCGGTGACCTAAGCTACGGCACGAATGTGGTGGCGAGTTCTTCTGCGGGTCGCAGGATGGAGTCCCGCGTGGGCATGGTGGTTCCCCTGTGTGTTGTGGTATGTTGGGTCGTCTTACGCCATGCATCGCGTAACAACTGCACGGCGCCATTGCCTGGGACGTGCCCTCCCGCCGGGGCGACGCTGTCGACGCACGAGCCGGCGCCGGCGTTCCCGCGGACCCACAGCGCACAGCGCTACCTTCGCGCGGCCATGGCCGCTCCACCGGCCAATTGCCGGCTGGCATGGAGTAGCCCAAGGGCTACGTCATTGCGAATTAAGACAGTAGGGACCGAAACCACGTGGACTACTTCCATGGATAACAAGTAGTGATGGTCGCGCCTGGAGGTTAGCCAGTCTCAGTCGGCAGGAGGAAGTGAACACAACCACCAAAGCACAGATTCCACGAAATACTCGAAAGGGTTAAAAAGTGGGATCACATATCGGAGTTCGTGCTTAGTTATTAAAATTTGTTTTTTTGTTATGCAGTTGCCTTCATACTGCTCGTTCTGTATATTTCACGAATGTGCATTCCCATCTGAGATCTGGCGTAATATTCTGGTGAAATACACCTTATATAGCTCCCAGACTTTCAGATTACAAAAATGAATTGTACTAATAATTAGCAAATCCCACTCACGTGAATCTTGTAAGCCTATCATTATTAATATAGAATTTTTTTTCATTACATTGTCCCTTGATTTACGATTTTTTTTTCTTAAAAAATTACTTACCAAGGGCTAGTATATATTCTCAATGTCTACCTGCCTGTCTATTATGTCCATAACTATAACTCTCGAAGTAGCGATCATATTCATCAGGTGACAATATAAAAAGGCTCACTACAAAAAATTCGCATACAATATATGCACTATATTTTACAACGCTGCCAGATGACATCAAACAATTAAAATCAATACAAAAGTTTAAGTCTCAAGTAAAATATTTTCTGCTGCATAACTGTTTGTATACAAGTAGAGACAATACCAAGCATCAAAAAGGAAATTAACATTAATTTTAACAATGCTATTTAAGGTATTATTTACCATTTGGACTGTACAATACTAAACAACCTGTAACCAGTATTGTACCTAAGCTTTTGGATAAATGACCCCCATCTTGATCAGGTTTTTCGTTTCCCTGATACTTAGCGCAAATGTTGGGATGGCCCCTTGGTTTGCTCCTGGACATAAATGTAACTTCTTTATCTGTGTACATCTTCTTGAGTTCAATGGAAAAGGAAATAAATACCCAAATTATCGTTCTCCGCATGTTGCCGTGACAGAAGGACATGATGAAGGATAAGAACTCAAATCTATAGCTGATTTGCCTTTGAAAATAGATTTTATTATGTCGACGCGAATAAGTTATTAACATTTCTTACCGCAAACGCTCATTACTTTCTGCTTTCAGTATTCAACTTTATAGTTTAGGGTAGGGATCCCAGAATTAAGAAAATGTTCACCAAATACATTTCTCTCCGTAGAACGTCACACACAGTTTTTAACTGATATTGAAGGAATATAAAATTTTCAAAAAGAGACTGGAGGGTAGGCTGACAATTCTTTTAGCAAATTTAATCATTAAAATTCATTGGTGATTCAGTAACAAGCTCACACCTTGGATAAATTTTCTGCTGCGTATCGTATTTCCCTCAGCAATTGCCTCTCCAATAAGGTGACAGGGTGGTGACAATTGTTAGTTCATATGTAAATATCACAAAGTTACGAAATTCACAATACATGTGTATTATTCCATCTTTACATCTATTAGACCGGGAGCCAGCAAGAAAAAAATGTAGGATAAACTCAAAGCTAAACGTTTTTGAGAAGTTAGCCAGAGTCGTGGAGAAAAGGGAAACGCAAGTATGGCGGCCTTTAAGTGTCGGCGATGCGCTGCACAATTTTTTTGATGTCGAAAAAAAAACGATGCCCTTGAGGAATGAGTACGCAGCTAATTCTTGTTATATATTGTTTGTTAGCCAAAATGTGAAGGAGTTGTATGCCATACTGATGTGACATGTGAAACTGTCCGTCACATTGAATTCAAAGTATCATTTTTTATGTCCTCTTAGATTACGAGTTCAAAGCTAATTTTTTGGTTTAATGGTAGAAAATTCGTTATCATTGTCGTAAGGGGCCATCTCAACATTTGCTCAAGGATCAGGGTAACTGTACGAAAACCTGATCGAGATGGGGGTCATTGACCCAAAAGCTGAAGTACAACCTTGTCGTGACTTTCTTGCAACGTACCCACGGTACTAAAGAGAAAATTGATCTTACTTTCATTGAATACAGCGGGAAAAGTTGTACAAGTAAGCTCAGTTTGTTTAGAGATAACGAAGAAGGAAATAATGAATCCCAAAATTGCGAAAATCTTACACTGACGTTGGACGGAGTCAAACAACAGCTATATCTAAAAAAAATTCACCTATGAAGCGAAAAATCCACAAAAGTTTGAGACATATGGGACTCGGCATAGGAAATTTCATCAAAATCAAATCAAAATGGTAGCGCGGGGCACGTCTGGTCACGGAATGACCCATTAGCAAACAGCTTATAACAGTTAAACGTTCATAACTCGAATCTTGTAGATACAGACGCATTCTTTTCTTTTACTCACATCATGTGCGCCATTACTAATTTCCTATAAAACGTCAATTATAACCAAACTGGAACTAGACAAGACAAATGACCGGTTTTTATCGGTGCCGTTGATGTCCGATTGTGTATTGTCCGATTTAAATATAGTGACTTGTGACCGGCCATCAGCCAAACGAAGTTATACAATCGGGAGCTTCGTTACGATTTTGAAAATCGATGATCTACCACAAGTGTCTATATTTACATAAATCGGGCCATAGAAGTACAGAGCGTATAGAAAGAAGAGGCGACGGGCGTCATTTATTTACTAAGGCCTGGAAGTGTTGAAAATAAAATGTAAATGTAGTATTTCCAGTAGCAGGATATCTAGTCTACCGAAAGTTTACATGCGAATATTACAAATCCCACATGCAGAACTGACCCAAATGGCCACGATCGCTAAGACTGACAGCAAAAACGTACGGTACGTGGGGTAGCTGGTTCGAGTCCTATGAAGGTATGTACGTTTTCACCGTAGTGTTGCGGCATGATTGGCTTTCCCACCCTTCGTCAACACCTTTCCTGCAATTGTCATTCCTGGACGGTCCGGGTTAGGAGGGAGTTAGAATTTACGGCACGTACCCCTTACATCTGAGCCGGCCTTCTGGAGACCTCAGTTGTGGGATACTTTCCCCGGACATGTACCCTAATACATTCTCCTGACGGTATGCTCCCAACTATAAATTAATGACCCGTTTGAAATAAAACATAATTCTGACCTAATGTTTAGATGTGCATACTACAACGCATTCTAGCGGCACAGCTGCAGAAGTCGCGCAGCAAGTGTGGGATCGCAGGTCACCAAGTTCCCTTCCACCACTAAGTAAATCCAGATCAATAAATATTGATGGCGTCAATGGTAAATCAAGCAGGAAAAGCGAAAACGTTTGTTTGCCACAAATTCCGCGTGAATTTACAGGAGGATCGAACCCAACCACCGGCAGTGGAAGGCGAATTAGTTAACCATTACACTATGAACTGACGTTTTAAGGAAATCGGTCGGAATTTGGTACAAAAAAAAAAGCACTAATAAAAATCCTATATTCATAATGACATTTATTGCAATCATATTAAAACTGAATGAGTTATCATTCAAAAAATACATAAACAAGTACAAACGAAGTGCAAGCTCAACCAACACATGCTTTTCAAAATATTTAATAATAAATAATTACATAGCACCAGACAATTAAAAGAACTGAATTTTAACAATCACACACTATGAAATTTATACAAAATTACAAAAAACAATACACAAAACTGAAAGCTTTAAGAAAATAAATAGAAGTAATTAAACTTATATAATCATATGAAAGTATTAGGAATAGTTTTCAATTTTTAAATACTCATCTCAAAATTACTTTCAAAACTATTTCCACAGCACCATTAATATCTCATTTGTATGTGTGTATTAAACATTTGATGTTCAGTTTTTCTTTTATTAACATTTGTAAGTACAACTGTGCAGATTTCATTACTACTTAGAACACAAAACACTATCCAGGAAAACATTTTTCACTGAATTTTTGTTCCTTCAAATAGAATGAAAAATAATAAATATATAATTACAGTTAACAAACAACATGCACTATCATCGCACACAGGTTTTCCTCGAGTATACATCAAAAGTTAGAATAATGAACAAATATTACGTCAGTGAGGGGTGTTACTGCTCCAAACATTCATATCGAGAGCTTTTGAGTGCTTTTATCAAACTTCATTCACGAGAATATTATTAGAACAAATTCTATTCTGTTGAAGAACCCCAATAAAGTGCAGTGCGAGGGTAGTTCAAACTCCCCGTTGTCACTTAGCTAGTGCGCGAGCTTGCAGCAGGAGTACAGTAGGGGTAGCTAACAGCACCCTAAAATCAACCATTTTCGTTAACTTTGAGAAGTCTTCTCATGCTTGTGTGCAACAAAATTTCATACTCTTTAAATGACCCGGACTTGTGAATAATTTTGATATTTTACATACTATAAGAAGAAACATTATCTGTAACACACCTCTGCCCTCAACTCGGCAGTCTCCGGCAATTAAGTCAATAAAATCATGAAAATTAATACTAAGCGAATTTGTTATCACGGCAGGAAAGTGATACTTAGCGATACAATCACAAATAATCCAATTGTTTTTACAATTGATACTATTGTAGCTCTCTAAGCCAGGAAGTGAATATATTTCTTTGCAACTTTTGCCAGAGATACATGAGCAGGCATCTGACATTCCTGGTAGAACGGAATGACCATTAGATTATTTTTCCGTAATCTTCAAAATATTTCAATATTACTTCATCTTGCAGAAGCCATAAGTATCTAACACAATAGAATTTTATAATACAAAATAATAAGAGTATAAAACATAAATTTAAGTTTCTTAACATTATTCACATAACTTTCTTTCACAATACATCCAGGTACAAAATAGTAAATGCAAAAACGACCCCTAATCCATGGTTCTTCCGTTCACTTTGCGTGCCACAACCATTGGTCTTCATTCGAAAAAATACACATAATGATTATTTCTTTGAGTAGAATTAAAATATGCAATAGCAAAAATAACGTTCTAGCTCACAATATTTCTTAACATAAACATTCGCCTTTACTCTTTTGGACCTTTTGTAAGATCACAAATTCCAAAATATTCACTTGCAATGAAAAAGATACTTCAACTTAATTTTCTGTACAGATAACTTTGATGTATTTTCAAATTCTGATTATCTATACATTAACAGTCAGAAGCACAATTATATTACACGTTTTTTCATGAAATTATCTACATTTTTAACTACAATTAACAACAACAAAAATTGTGACACAGAATCTTCACATTTTTACAATTCGAACGCACTGGAACGAAAACAAAATATGGACATTTATATTCCATAATATGTGAATATCAAAAGAGAGAGGATCATGCAAGGAACTATATAAGGTGGTTAGAATTCACACAATACTCTTTCAATTTCCAATACCTCACAAAGCTGTTGATATATTGTTAATATACCACAAAGTTATACGTTATGATTTACCAGGTACATGCATACGTCTTTTCCGGTTTCACTAACAAATGGCGCCATCGAACAGTCCACAGCGTATGACTTGGATACTACGTCAATTTGTTCGTCAAACATTAATCTACTAACACTGTAGCGGTACAGAATTATCTAAATAAATTAAATAGAATAACGTAGATTTAAGGAAGAATATTTACTGAGAAAGGACCTACGGCGTCACGCGCACCCCCCCTTCTTGCAACAGCCACGAGCCCCCTGACTCACTTCGGAGTTTATGGCACCCCGACGACCGAAGAAAAGGGTGAATTGTCAGGCGCTCCGCTGCGACCCTGTCCGGAACATTTTCGGAACGCCTGTCACTGTGATCGGGGAAGCACAAGATAATAATTCAGTAGCCGGGAAGCCCCTTCAGAGACGTGGCCTACTTTCTAGACGACAGAGAAATACACCACGGAGCGACGGAAACAGAGAATGGAAAATTTCCAGAATCCGCCGGAGTTTATTGGCCAAAATTAGTGTAAGACGCCATCACCTTTGGCCAATAGCGACGCGATCGTCATAGGGAACTCGAACATACGAGGAGAAAGGGTGGGGGAATGAAAGTTAACTTCGTACTGAGGGAGAGACAAATCGACACTACTAGGGCGGGAGCCAGTCACGGGGAGAGGTGAGTGCACCTTTGGGGGACTTAGGGAGAGGAATTCTCAGACAGAGGTGGGTCTACCCCTAGGACAGGCATTCACTCGAAGTTTTTAGAGGAAGTGCAAAAGCACTTATAAGGGAATTGTCGAATCCTTTGTCACTGCATATTCGCTGCAGGATTTCGCAATTACTGAAATTTTTATTCGAGAGGAATCGCATACGCAGAGGGAGACATTGTTGTGTGCTCCGCACCTGCGATCGGGGGCGATATACCCCGGCCATCTACAAGCTCCGCCGAAGCAGCCTCCAGACGACCGTTCGCTTACGTCACTGACCGCCGCAGACGCCGCCAGCCGCCCTGTTGGTGAGGGTGCGCGCCCGACCGCATTCCAGGGAAGGCCATCCCGGCCGCCCACAAGCTTCGCCGCGCCCACCCGGGCCTACTGAGCGCATCTGCCACGGAGGGTTCTCAGGCAACGTAATCAGGGGCAATAGGCCCTTAGAAACTATTGTCAAAGCGGTGCCGCGCTAAGGCACAGAAAGGTTCTCAGGGAAAAATTTGTGATTGTAATCATAGAATAATTTTGTACCACTTTTCTTTAGTTGTAAGATCTCCTTTAATTTTAATCATTATTTTTTTTATTCAATCTTTTTTTTTCTTTTCCATCAATGTAACTTCCCTGATACAGCATTGTCCAGGAATAAATGCCATTTTTTTACCAGTAACCAAATTGTTTTCTTCAAATGTCCATTAAGTTAGTTTACAATTCCTTCCATCACCTAATTTTTAAATAGGTAAGGGTAGTAGAACCGACTGAGCTAAGACCGGGCCGCTACCGCGCACTTCCGACGATCCCATGTCGCCGGTAGATGCGTGGGGGTGTTACAACACACACACACACACACACACACACACACACACACAAAGTTGAGTCCACCAAACACTAGCGTGTGTTGTATCGGTTAGTGATCAAGTCGACGTTTGTGCCTACACAAGAACATTAGCGATACGCACAGCTTTTCTTATTTAATCAAAAGAAAAATGCTGTGGAAAGTCATCGTTTGCTGATAGCAACATATGGTGTACACGCCCCATCGATTGGAACATGTGAGACATGGTTTCGACAATTTAAACGAAGCGATATGAATGTGAAAGGCAGTGCACGCTCTGGTATACCACAGAAGTGCGTAGACGTTACTGGATGATGACCCAACTCACACTCAACAGCAATTGGCGAAAGCATTAACTGTGTCACAAGAAACAACCAGCAGACGCTTAAAAGCAATGGGGAAGGTCAATAAACTCTGTAAATGGGTCCCATACGATTTGAAGAACGGCAAATGCACGCCAATGCACCGCACCGTCTCACACAGCAAAGTCCTCGAAAAACACTTTGAAATGGCGTGGATAGGACACCCGGGATTCGAACGCGCGGTACTCCCCCGACCTGGCGCCATCTGCCTGTCACTTCGCATCAATGGGGCGCGCGCTCCAAGTGCAGCACTTGAGCAATATCGAGACGTTGGAAAATGGCTCGATGAATGGTTAGCCGCACAAGACAGTTATTCTCGCATGGTATTCATATCTTGCCTGAAAGATGGACGAAGCGTGTAGAAGCCGATGGCCAATATTTTGAATGAACAAAAAATGAATATCCCTTGAAAAAGAGTTTTTTTTCTTTACCACGAAAACAAGCAAAAGCATATGTATACACCTCGTAAAACATGTTTAAACCAAAGAAAAAGTCGTCGGAAGTACTATTTCAAAGACGAAAATACACGGGAACTCTTCAAATTCGACATCTCTTTACATTGCCAGATATTATACTATACTTTCTGCATATTACCCCTATTTCCTTACACATCCCCCTTCATTTCGAACACTTTCAAGCACAGTGAAGTGAACAACAAGAATAGAAATTAATTCAATTACAAATTATACTTAAAACTAGTGGTGTTCCAACAGCACATATTTTCTCGCATTTTAATAAACTTTTGTAATTTTCGGAATCTCAAAGAGTACAACGAAAAGTATCCGGAGCGGCGGCTCGCTGCACGACTGCGCCCGACACCCGGTCGCCACTGAAGATGTCCACCGCAATCGTGGACGAAACATTTGTCAGTTTAACGCTAAATGGACTACGGTCTCCCAGCCCGGAAACTCTTATTGACTGCTGCGGTGAAAGCCTACGATGCTATATTCACAATTCTCCACAAAAAGAGGGGAACTTCCCCCTTTTATCGGTTTTGTGAAAACCTACACATCGGACACGACAATCTCCGATTGTACTCGGCGAGGCCAGTACGCATAGACCGCTATTTCCGAGTAAGCTACATGGCATAAATTGATGTCATTACAGTGCCTCTGACCCTAAGGACCAAGCGTTCGAATCCCGACGGTGATTGGGTTTTCAACACTAGCTAGATAGCTAGGTCGAATTCAGACGCTGTCTGGATGAGAATTCTCGCGGTCTGCTGCTCTGATCGGCAATTTTACGTGGTTTCTCAGATCAAAACCAAGCGAATGTCGAAGCAGTACCCTAACAAACGGGCCAGGGTCCACGCGCGATCTCCCCTTCCTCTTTCTTGTCGTATCCACTCCCTTCACTCATACACTCACTCACTGCCACACTTGTCACGAGATCATTGGAGAGCTTAGAGCTTGTCCCGGCAATGGCGGTGTCTGCTGGTGGGAGTTACGTGGTTGGCGAAAACCCTCGCATGGCGACGTAAGTCGGCGCCGGATCTCCATACACAGCGTAGGAAGATCACCGCCACCTCTCGTGATAAAAGCATGCCCTACACCTACGGGACTAATGGCCATAGCAACTGACGCGCAATCAATCCGAGAAAGCTAATTTCAGCTCTGCGGTA